CATACTCGCACAACATTCATCTTGTAAATATGTGTCTTCTGAAATATCATGTAACAGTGCTTCGAGTGTGGACGTATCATATTGATTCACATATTCTTTCAGACGACTTGTGTAATCTTTAATCCTTTTCAGAATTTCTTTGTAGTGTGTGACCTTTTTTTCTTCCTCTGAAAGATTAATAATAATTTTTGTATCTAATTTGTGTTTTTCCACTAAATGACGTAATTTTCTGAATTGTGATTGCATTTGATCGAGTTGAGATGATTTCAAGCTCTTATTCATCACAAGTTCTTTGACTTCTTTTTCAAGCTCTTGAGATTCGATTAAATGTTTTTTCATTGCTTGAACATAGGAATGAATTGGTTGATAGCGAAGACCTTTTTTCTCTAATAAATCGCCGAGCATGGTCTCTAAATCTGTAAGAGATTCTACATTCTTATCTGTATAACAGTCATCAATGAGAGATTTGTATTCATTAATTGTGACACGTTGTTCACTATCGAGCATTCTTTTGAGTTCCATAGCTCCAATTGATTGCAAAATTAATAATCTTCCCTTCACTGGTTTGTTACTGAAAGCAGAAACTTTCACATTCAATGGTTGTGTGAGATTGGTTTGATCTGTATCTTCCTCAATAATTGCCACAATAGGTTGTGGTAATATTTTCAATTCCGTAATATCTTTTTCTGAATGACTGGTTGAATTTGCAAATTTGTAAGTACAATGAAAAGGAATTTGATTCACCGAATGAACAAGAATATGATATTGTCCCATTGGCAATTCAAAATTATAATCATTTTCTTCTCCCTTTCCGAGTTCAAAGCCTTTCGTATGAAGAACATTAAATATTTGATGAATGGTAATTTTGTAACTGCACTTGGAATCGGGTGGCTCACAAAACAATGTAACTCGAATGATGGATTGTTGAGAGTCCATTGGAGTAGAAATTAATGTACTCCATGAACCTCCTTTTTCAATATTATCTGAATTACATAATTGATCATCATCTTTGGACATGATGGAAGATCCCGATGACTGACACGATACATCTGCTCGCAATATAACCGACGAAAAGAGTTTTAAACCCATGGCTGTTGTGTTGGAAATTTGAACTTTGAATCGACCTGGAGGAACAGGAAAACTCAAATCATTCACCCCTTCCGAAGAAGTTCCTTCTTGCTCTGTAATTGGATGTAAATGAAAATTTTGTTCATCGGCAATGATTTGGTTGAGTACAGAGTTTCCATTGTGTTGATGTGAAGAGGATGAAGAAGATGGATTTGTTTTGAATTTTCCAATGACACCTCTTAAATCCAATGTATTTCTCTTGGATGAGGTTGTACCATGATAGGTGCCATCGTTGGTCGTGGATGACAGCGATGCACCTGTCTCTCTAATTCGGGTCATTATTTTTTATGGGGGAGTGATTGGAATCCTAGGAGCAGAAGGAAGCAGGTATACCGCATGAGTAATCAGAGAATAAGTGCGGTCAAAAATAAGACGTTTATCTACCATCGAAAAATACCTTCGATTAAAATACTGCTGGACGAATACGGATGGAGAATATCCCTGGTTAAAATACTGATGGATATTAACCATGGCATCAAGGACGACATAATACAACAGGGCAATTACATGTGCATAATACTGGTCATCAAAATACCGTCGGAAAAGTAAATGAGGAAAATACTGACCGACGAATATATGACATATTTTACTGCTCGACCAATACTGTCGGATGAAATACCACTGGCAAGATATGGACGGAGAATAATATTGACAAAATAATGATTGAAATTAATTATGATAACAACGACGGACAATACCTTCGGATTGGTTCGGATGAAAGTACCACGAATTATTTTCATCGATACTTTGTTGAATAAGACTTGTTGATTTTTGAAATATTTAGAAAATTAATATTTATTTACAAAAATTATAACAAAATGCAAATTGATTCAATTGCCACTTTAACCCAGATGGCAATGAATAGCAAATACAGCTACATTTAGACTTGACTTTGCTGATATCTATTGCTGATAGCATTAGTTGTGGAATGCATTT